GATACTATGTAGAAAATTCTTGTAAAAAAATTTCAGTTTTTTATCGTTTCGCGATAGAAATTGATTGAAAGCTTTGCAAAAAGAAACGGGTTTCAGATTCTGAAACCGTTGCGGAAAGCTCAGACCCAATGCCGCAGAATACAGACTCATCAGTATCTTCCTCTGCCATGAGGTGACGAACGGCTTGGAGGCTCTTCACGTTGAAACAGATGCAGCAATGGCAACACCTTTGTAGGATAGTGCATCTCAATGAAAGATGTTTCAGGTTTCTGGTCGCCTGTATATGACGTGCGTTGCGGTACGTATGCAGTCCAGGGGTTCCTTGGTTCTCTCAAGGTGTTCCATCGTCTGCTAAGTGCAGGCAAGCTGCGACTGGCAGCTTCTACATGAGAACGGGTGACACGATGATGCTGGATACATCTATGCAAACATACCACTTTTACGAAACACATTCAGAACAGGAGAGCCACCTGATATGCTCTTATACAGGCAGTTCACCGGCAGTGACCACTGGTGTGTGCAACCACGCCACGCCGTGAAGTTGAATTTCCCGCAAACATCTGCGGGAGATTGCTACACTGCGTCTGTAAAGGGGAGGTGTTCTTTCTATCCAAAGACGCTGCTCCCTTCTCTGCCTTGATTTTTCCTTTTCCCTTTATTATCGCTACCTCGGCGGCGGCGCCGCTGCTTTCTCATGTTTCTAGGAGTGGGCCCCACCCGTTCGCGCTTGCAAGCCGGACCCGCCCGCCCGGCACCACGACAACTGTTAGCGGATCCCTGAAACTTTGATCATATTTTTGCTTTCACATTTTACTTTCATGGTTCAACAGCAGCAGCAGCAGCAGCAGCAGCTATTGCTCTAGATGCGCCGCCTGGGGGTATTCAAGGAGGTTAGTAACATACGCATTCTTTATGGTTTCTGCATCCAGAAGAAGGGGCTTTGTTGCGCTTGCAGTCCTGCACTATTAGTCGCTACGATATGCGCTGCCACTCACAGTGCGCCAGC